TTAAGCCCAAAACGTCATGTCTTCTTCAGACCCACTGCGCATCATCATACGTTATGGCTATGTAACTACACTGTATGGCAAATTATTGTTTTTAACATTACAAACGTCAGCACTGTAATAACAGTGTTTGATTAAACTTGTATGAATTCAGTCGTCTGACTAATTACTGCGTCTGCTTGCGTAATACTGTTTGTTTACTCTCCAATATTTTTATCTTGGGATTAGACGAATTATTTAAAATTTTCTCACATTCTGTATTATATTATTGTAGTGGTTGTGAGTCAGCTGTGACTGTAGAGTTCAGAAAACATAAATTTTAAGATTTACTGTTTTTATTGTCCCAGCTCGAGCGCCAGATTTAGCTCTAGCTCTAGCTCTATCTCTAGCTTTAGCTCTGGCTTTTGCTCTCGCTTTAACTCTAGCTCTAATTCTAGCCGTATCCTTAGTCCCAGCAAATTACACTCTTGAATGCATGCCATCCGCTTGTTTCCCTACAAAAACCAATTACAATCTTGTTGTTGTTTATTTATTCGCTTCTTAATTCTAACTTTTGTTGTTAGCATGTTATTCTTGTTTTGGCTGCTTACAGCAAAATATGTAATATATGTCTGTGTCTTTTTGTCAGCTATTGCCAAAACAACCGCCTCGAGGAGAAAAAACACACACAGTCCAGAAGAAGCAAGTAAATAGCGGCTGACGGCTAAACCCAGCCCTAAAGGCAATAATAAACAATTTTCTTGGGAATGGTGGTTCGCTAAATAAGGCTATGGGTGGGTAAAACGTGTCGTTTTAACAAAATTTTGTGAAACAGTCCGCCTTAAAACTTTTTTTTAAAAATTTTTGAAGTTTTTTTGGATTTAAAAACATTTTTATGTTTTTTTTTGTTGTATGACTATCTTTAACGCTAATACCATATATGACTACCTTAACACTTATTTTCAAAAACACTCCGATCAGTTATGAAATCGACCAGTAATCCTGTACAGCAAGACTAATTCAATTACAATCCGCTTAATAAATCCGACTACTGCCCCCAGGGCCAATCTCTTAAAACGTTCCCCCCAAGCTGTGTGTGTGTTTTTTTTGTTTTTGCAGTAGTTTTTTGTTGTTGTTTTGCGACCCTCACATCAGACGCTTTCTCTAAAATTCTTTCTCTCGTCAAGGCTGTCCGCCCGAGAGTCTCGCAGTTTCCTTAAATTTCACTTTTCCCAACGTTCGGCGGAGAGATGCCGCCACGTTCTCCGGGAACGGTTCAGCTGTGTTTTGTTGGGTTTAGAAACGGTTTTGAATTTTAATTTTGTCGGTTTTGGCCATAATAATGATGGTGGTGATTTTGTCAAGTTTTGGTTTGATGTAAAGGAGTGTTAGTTTTTTATTTAGCGGCTTTTAGATGGCAATTTTATTTTGTAAAATACACCTTGAAGTAGAATACTTTTACCAATTTGCATTTTTGAAATATTAATTGAAAGTTAAGTACACAAAAACTTTTTTCTGGTCTTACCTTACCTCTACCTTAGCTATACACTATCCTAGCCCTATCTTTTAAATTTCAATTTTTCTGTTATTTTTAAAAAAATTGTCGAAAACTTTTAATTCACTTGACCCTCTTTCATTTTTCTTTTCTATTTACCGTAAATACTTTAATTAATTTTACAGCGAATGAAGTGTAAAGTTGACTTTTGAGTCCTAATTTACATGTTGTTTTACAGCTGAAAGTAAACCATTCTTTGCGTACTACATATTTCTAAACTTTCGATACTAATGTTAATAGTGTGCAAATAGTGAACTACATAGTTCGGTTTCAATATTCTAAATTTGAAGCTGAAACTTGGTGCTATCTTTGGTAAAATTCTGTGTGCTACGGTTTTTTTTTAAAAAACAAAAAAAATTTTTTTTGTGGTTAACCAATTTTTTCATTTTCTCGCGACAAATTTACAAAAAATAATTATAAAATTGGACAAAAATTGCAATTGTTATTTTTTTAGTATAAGAAAACATAAATCTAAAAAACCATGGTAACGTGGTTCATAACTCCTAGTGATAAAAGCCTTTATTTCTAGGAAAAACAGCTATCATTATTAAAAAAACAACTTTAAGTACTACAATATCTTTTTGTTAGGTTGTTCAAATGATTCTGTGCCTCTAACCCCAAAAAATTTGCTTTGAAAGGGGGCACAGAATTATTTGGACTAATTAGTATTAAACACTTTGAAATAAGTTAGCTAACTCTAAAACATTTTCCAAAAAAGTTTAGATACACCGTAATACGAAGCCAAGTTGTATAATATAATATGGCCACCAATAACTAAGCGGAAATGACATTATATAAAACTATATGTATTCGACTGTTCTCCGACTAATCTCAATATCTAATTTTAGATGTAATAAGAAAGCTTTGTTTTGCTTTACTTTACTATACTACATATTGAATTTCACTACATATATTACTATGAAAACTACAAAAGTGCTTTGTAATATTCTAATATTATACATTATACTACTATTCGTGTAATAATCTTCTATTACATTGTGTTGTTGCTTACAATAACAACAATATTACTAAAATTTATGCCTACGTATTGTTAATTACTAGGTAAGCCTACATATTGCTACCTACTACTACCTACAACAAGAGTTATAGTATTATTACCTTTGTGGTACTGAAAAGTGTAGTAAAATAAGTTATATGACCAGATGGCAGTGTGGTTAGCTGGTTGCTAATCACACAATAAAGACAACAGCTATTTGCACTGCCTGCCTGGAATGTCAATGCTTACTTTACTACAAATTTTTACTTTTATAATTATTAATGATAAAACAATGTATTTAAATGTGAGAAACTAGTAGCATTCAACGTCTGAATATCAAAAAAAATTAAAATTTTACCAGTTTTTTGGGATATGTATATCCTTTAGTATTAAGCTCCTGTACAGCTAAGTTATCTATAACAAAACTCCTGCATAATAAACAAGTTTTCAATGTTCAGCTATCGTTACGCAGTACATATAAAACACCTGTATAACAAAACTCTTTTCAACAAATTTTAAAGCCTTACAAGTTACTTGTTAGAGCGATTCTTTATACAGAAACTCTACTGTATCACTATACCTTTTATATTTGTAAGTATACTTATAATTTGAAAATAAGTATACATGAGTTATACGTTACAAGAAACATTAATGTAGACTAAATACGAAAATGTAAACCATGTGAAAATCCGCAGTCGATTCTTCATACAGAAATTTCACTGTATTCATCTTTTAGCTAACAATTGTAAATTTAAAAAAATTTCAAAATAAATCAGGTAATCAAGTTGATCTTTTTTAAAAATTTCATTTCAAAAAGAGAAGAGATTTTCAATTTATTAAACAAAAAAAACCATAATAAAATAAATCTTAAAACAGTTTCATGAACACTTCTTCATATTCGTACCAGATTGATGCATTTGCGTACGGTACATTACATCGTAAATGCGTCCTTCTGCACGAATACCTAAAGTTTACATTTCAAAAGTCTTTAAAGGTGAACAATGTCCAATTCTGTGTAAACATTGTTACAGCTTAGGTAGATATATAGGACTTAGCATACTTTTACAGTCTGTACGTGTACAACAAATCAGTGCATTTACATGCTTATGATAGTAATACTGTAAACGCACTATTTATTGCAAACGTAACATGACTGTAAGTTTTAGTATAATAATATATTGTAAGAAGCAACGAGTAATATAGTATGTGGTACCCATAGTCATAGACAACATAGTATGAAAAAAAAAAAGTTGATGACATATTAAGTTATATCCATAATTTTTATAGTACCAATGTAGTATAACATAAAAATCTAGTCAAGTAAAATTGTAGCCAGAAAGAGCAAAAAACCAACCTAAATTCAAAAAAAGCTATCATCTGAACATACCAGACTACAACCCCATCCATTTATATTGTGATAGGCGACCATACACGCCCCTCCAACTCATCATCGCTTAATTTGCATACAAAGTTGTAGAAAGTTTGAGTTGTGTGAAATTTCTCGTGATATTAAGTGATCTGCATTTCGCCAGCACTTATATCAAGAAGGGTTGTTGTGTATCGCCGGTTAATCCGATTAATACCTGGCACTTGTCAGTTCGGTTTTTGAACATGGCCGATTTGAATATAACTCAAAGTTTCAAGAGAATACGAGAATATTGGCTTCCAAAGGTATTTCCTACATGGACCATGAGCTTGAGCTTGATTTACGATCAGTACAGCTTGGAAAAGTAGACTTATAATTAGAATAATAGAAGATAAAGACAAAATATTATCTAAACACATCAAAAACAATATAAAGATCAATGAAAAAGCAATCAGTCGGATCAGAAAAGCAAAGTAAAATTAACAATGTAGTAATTGTAGAAAAAGAACAAAAATCAAATAGAATACGGACTCACAAGGAAGGATTCAAAGCCGATCTCAAAATGGAAGACCATCCCTAACGGCCATTCGCCACCTAAACAAACAACATAACCGCCTCAAGTAATAAAAACTCGCCGACGCATTACGTTTTAACAATACTAGTCGTACAATGTAAACCTTGTTTTGTTTCATCCTGTATTTGGTTTGTCTAGCCGTTTTTGACATGAATTTTGGTCAGTTTGAAGTTGTTTGTTGTTGTATATTCATATAATCAGCTGCAGATAATTAAATTTTATAAAATTAATAAAGATGGACAAAACAAGTTTAAATTTTAATATTTTTTACTATTTAAACTAATTTTTGACATTTATTTTTACCGTTTAAAAACCACTTACAAATAATATACAATTAAGTCCCACAACGAAGACGAACAATCGCCAAACGTTTTGGCTTTCTATTATTGTTGGGAATTTTATTTCTGGAATATTGTTGTTTTACATTTTTAGTTGTTTCATTGATGATTTTATATATAAAATACGGTTTAATGATTAAAATTAATTATTTTAGGTCTTTTGTCAGTTTTTAAAAGGATTGACTTAACCAACCATGTCGATTCTACAGAAGATCAAAGAGATAGAAGATGAGGTAGGTGTTTCGTGTTTTTTGTTGTAAATTTAGGTTTGGAGAAAGATATGGATGACCCTAAGATTAATAATGGCAGTGCTATGGCTTTTAACATTTTTTAGAAACGACTTTGTCATTTAAATTTGTAAAGCCAAAGTTAAAAGTGAATTTATACTGTTTTAGGTTAAAACTCGTAAATTTGTCTTGTAAGAACGTTGTAGCTTTTTGATTTACATATGTTTATAAATTATAGTTTACTAGTAGTAAAATAAAGCATTTTTAAAATTTCTTTTAATTGTGGTAATATTTTTTGCGCTTTAGATGGCCAAGACCCAAAGGAACAAGGCCACAATGGGTCACTTGGGTCTGTTGAAAGCTAGATTGGCTAAACTTCGCCGTGAACTTATTTCTCCAAAAAGCGGAGGTGGTGCACAAGCTGGAGAAGGCTTCGATGTGGCTAAAACTGGTGATGCTCGAATTGGTTTTGTAGGTAGGCTATTTTCTGTCTGTGTTAGTATTACAAGATCGGTAATTTTGGATTGAGTCGTTGAAAGTGTGTGTTTGTTTTCAAAGCTGTGTGAGTATAAGGATTTTATAAAGGAAAGATTTGATGTTGTAAAACATATACCTGGCTTTATATTTGATTTTATCGCAATTTTTTACAAAAAAATTGATGTTATTCATGTTAAAATTTATAAAAAGTTCAAAATCATTTAAAACTAGGTTAAAATATTGTTTATTCAATGGAAATTTTATCACATAGGACGAGATTCAATGAAAATTCATTTTTTTAACTGTTGGAAGTGGTAAAACTTTGAGCAGAGAACTAAACATAAAATTCTTGTGATAATGTACAGATAGTGCAATAGTAAAATGGTAGGAAGCATTGGGAAGTAGAGACTGACACCGTATAGGAACACCGGAAAATAAATATTAGGTAGAGACTGGTTTATAACAATGTTATTTCAGAAATACATAACTGATAATTAAAAAGTAGGTTGAACGCGTAACAAAATTAATTAAGCTAAAATACAAAAATATTTAAATACAGTTAACTGGCCTGATTTTACTATAAATAAGAAGACAATGACAATTATTTTAAAGTTTTATATTAATATTCGTTAGTGCCATCTATTACTTCTTTGAACCTTTCTATTATTGGGTAGTATACTATTCCAAGCTGTTTATTCATAACTTCAACAGTTTGAGCAGCAGTCTTCACAGCCGCGTATAGTAATGCTGGATCTGTGTCAGCATAATTTTCCATTTCTTTGAAAGCCACCATATCTTTCTTAAAACGAATAATAGGTGAAGAAATTTCAGCTAATCGTTCATAAGGTCGATCATAGCCGTTCTCTTCATACGTCTCATCTACTTCGGATTCTGAAGAACTAGTGTAGTAGTCATTGGCTTCTATATGATTCATTGGCGTGCTGTTTCTACTCAACGGTCGTGCTGGTACGTCTTCGATCCTCAGTGCATCTGATTTGTCGTTTTTCATTATCTCTTCTAATTCCAGTTCGTCTTCTTCAGCTAAAGTTTGATATGGTTCATTAGTTTCGTCTTCAGAGTCACTGGACCAGTCAGCGTACCTTTTGTTTTTGGGTTTGGTTATAATGTCGTCATCAGCGAAGTCAATACTTAATTGAGGGATCTTTAAAGGCATCCCTCGGTCTCCGATTGGTGGTGGTGTTGCACATTTCTCATTAACAACTTCTTCTTCTCCTTCTTCTCTCGGCGAATCTCTACTTCCACGACGTGATAAGGGCCGTTCATAAGGTCCGTTATGGGTGATGGCATCTAACAGAGAATTAGACAATTTCAACTCTTCATGGTTGTTCTCAATATTCTGTTGATCTTTCTCGTTGTCGAGTGATCCCCTCGGGGTTTTGGAGACTTCGAAATGTGGGACGGGTAATTCGATTTCGTTGTACTCTGGCTCCATTATCGAAACGTGAACGTTCGGAGGTGGGGATTCTTCATTTTCAACCTCTGCCAACTCATTTTTGATCTCCATTTTTGGCGCAGGCGGTGGCGGCTCATGGATATGGTTGTCGTTCTCGTCGTAATTAAGCTTTGGCTCCGATCCCATATTTTCAACAACAATTGGCACGGCACGCTGAACCATTTGTAGCGTCTCTAATGGCGGCGAGTTATGGCTTATGACATTCCCTTCGGTTTCTGGGTTGAATACGTGGCTGTTTTGGTGAGAATTACACACGCTTCCCACGTAAAAGTTGTTTTGGCTGTTGTTCTGTTGCTGGCTGTAAAACACGTTGGGGGACTCGATGGCCTCTTGCGATATGGATTCCTCCAAAAACACTTCGCCCGAGTAACCGTCATCCAATGACTCGGCTGGTAACTGGCTCATGTCGCACGCGAACATTCTTTGGAACGATCTGGTATCCGTGTTTGCCGAAGGCGGAGGACTCGAGGGCTGCGAGTTTTGCAAGTCGCAAATGCCAATAGAATTGTCGTCACCTACGGAACGTTTGGTGGAGGATCGTGCCGTCAGACGCCCACCGTCTTTTCCATTCGACGTTCGGCGGCATTTCTCGTTGTTATTGTTGTTGTTGTTCAAAACCGACGACCTTGAACTTGTTGAGGATCTGGTCGCCTTGTTGATATTGTTTGGCGCATCCAACTTGTCACTGCACGCTCCGTAGTTCTTTTGGTCCTTATTTGCAAGGCTTTCGCTCCGTTTAGCTTCCGTTCGCTTCTGACGTCGGTCCCTGTAAGGCAAAATATTAGTAAACATGAAATTATAGCCAGACATTATTTTTACACCATGCACAAGACACATTATTATCTTAATTACATGGTCATGTTGATAAGTAAGTTTGGGAACGCAAGTCCGACGTAATTAAATTGAGAGGAAATTGCGCCGCTACAGTTTGAAACGTGAATGAACGGACAATGCTGAATTCTCAACTTAACTTGAGATTAAAAACAAGATGAATATGTTTGACGTCAAGAGGCTAATCTTAAAACCGGATATTTTTGGAGACTCGTATACCTCTAGTTATGTAGAAATGTAAAGGCTTATACAAAAGTTTAGGAAGACATATTCTGGGCCATTTCCTTCCCGAAAGTTTCGGATATTTTTAGACGAACTCAGTAGCTTACCTGTGCATCCGGACGCGTAGTTGCAACAACTTACGCAACCGCTGCAATATTTTAGTGGGCGAAAGCGATGGCATTTTAAAGCTCCTTTAAATTAAAAATTTACATTTACGCATAAATTAAGAACGTTACTTCAGCCGACACGAGATACGTCACGCATAATGGCAACTAAATCTAAAAGTAACTCCCGTTAATTCTAACTTAAGCGAGTTTTCGAACTAAAGCAATTTTGTCCAAATTTACAAATACAAAAAGTATGGGCAATTTAAATGAAGCATTATGGCTTTCCCTCGCTTCAAAGTAACGAGTCTTTGGTGGGGTGTCCGTGATACCTTAATCCCTCCTTGATGAGGTCATAAAAAGAACATTGGGCCATAACTAATGTAAAGCAAAGAGAGTGAGAGGGTGAGTTCCGCGGTGTAATCGTGTCATTCACTCTCTTTTCAGTGCCCCCAAATTCACGCAGAGCGCTGAGAAATTAACACTTGTTTGGTGCGCCGCTGCAGTATGATTCGAAAATGCGAAACGGTAAACTTTAGATGGGCCGCGAGGCGGCGTTCTGTTTTCTTAGCTCTTTACACTGTTTTACGCGTGCTCCCCCTGCTTTTTCACAACGCGCGGCGAACATTTGGTCCGGTGGCATTCGCTATGAATTTTCTATCTTGTATCCACGCGAAAGAGTTTGTCGGCTTCTGAGCACGCACTATGCTTTTTTTGGATGAAACTGGCACTAGGAAGAGTTGAAGTCGCACTATAGCTCATTCAAATAAAGAAAATAACGATGCTACTAAGGCGAGCATCTTGCTTATTTGGTCATGGCCAAGCAGCTCGTTTACATTCTTATCCAAGTGTCCCACTACGTTCTCGTAAGATGTACGCACACGAAAGTACATCACTATTTACACTCGAATATTTTCCAAAATTGTGTTATAAATGGAGTCAGGATTTACATAATTCTCTCCAGCATAAAAATATAAAATATCTTCTGGATATTTCGTGCGGCAGCGTGCGGGTTTCCTGATGCTGTTCGACTTTTTTAGTTGACTTATAGGTTTGAAAAGAGGCCTCCTTGCTACCTTAACTGGTTTAAACACAGTGGGATGTTTTCCTTGTCAACAGAAGGTACAAAGAATAATCTCAATTGAATTGAAATAAAAAAAATACTAAACAGACGTTAAAAATAAATATAAACTTAATAAACAGAAGAGACAAAATTATAACTCGTTTAAAGTAACTTAAATATGGCAAGCACAACCTAACATATGGCGTATGTCTAACTAATAATTCTAATAGCAAAAACAAAACGTGAAGGCGAACTTACGAAATACACTTGTAAAATGCGATAACGTAACAGAATAATATGGAAACCATAACTACTGTTATCATGATAATTAGTGTTGTGTTGTCTGCCGGCAGTGTCTGACGTTCGATGCTGCCCAGATGGAGGGATTCAATGCGAATACCACCCAACACTCGTGACAACGGTCCTACTTGCGTAGTAAGGATGTTGACAATCTTCCCTGGTGCTATCAGATCGGCTTCGGTCATCTTTGGCATTAAATCAGGTTGTTTGCGCACGACGAACTTCATAAGTATTCGCTTTCTGGGTAGGTATTCCACGTGCATTATGAGAACGTTCGCCTGAGTCAGTAACGGTTCATCGTCGTCATTCAATCGATGAATTGGCAGTGTGGAACTTGGCAAAGCGCCGGCTTTATTAATCGACAAGTCTTTGTTTTTTGAATTAGACGGCGCTTTGTTTGGTTCTGACCGCAATTCACCGTTGTTATTTACCTTATGTAGCGAAAGTTGGGCACCAGCACAGTCGTGAGCTTCTTTTTCGCAATATTGGCTTACAATGTTGGCGACCCGTCGACGAAAGTAGTCTTGATATGTTTCGTTGGTATGTAGACGTGAGGACAAGTCAATGTTTTTAATGATTATATCTACACTTGGGATCTTTTCATCCTAAAAATATTGTAAACTCACTAGCATTTTTATTACTTTTTTAAAAATTTTTTGGATTTGAGGTTTCAAGAATTGTAAAGCAAAAGGAATTGGCTGTAAATTAGCCTTATCTTTAAAGAATTAATATTACGGCGTTAAACGTACCGCTATTAAGGCGTTACACTGGATAACAGTGTCATCTAAATTCCCAGCCGAACGGTTACACACACATTCAAAGTCGGAGTCGACATTGCACAGGAAATCTTCTTTAAGGCCTGTTGAATCTCTTTTAACTACATTGTGTTCCGACTCTATGCGTGTCGTAGGTATAACATGAGCATTTGAGACAGTTACGGTAAAGTAAAATACGAAAGAAGCAATTAGAAAGGCTGTGAGGATTTGTAGCAGTTCGGGCGTCTTTTTCGTATTTGCGAAAGGACGTTTTGTCGAGTACAACTGTTTGATGTACTCTCTTTGTATGAGGTCAGAAGCAGGGTCGATGTATTCATCCATTTGTTGATAAAGGTCTCCAATATTGTCGGTGGAAAATTTGATGAAGTCATTTTTCAGCTTTCGCCTTTTCAAGCTGCTGAATGAGTCCATTGACATGCTTGGTTCTAGTAGTAATTATTTACTGTTCTAGTTTGTGTTCTGTTATTATATTGGATAATTCAAGCATGTCGATCTTGCTGAATGTGCTCTCGCTTTCGAAAAGTCTGCGTGAGATGTGTTCGAATGGCCTCTGAAACAGTCTGTCTACTCACAATAAATGCATGTATCGCGCAAACGTTCATATTCGGTACAAGGAAGATTTATTATTCTATGATGGAAGTGCGCTTCACGTTTTACATTTATTTTGCACTCGGAATGTGAAGTACGTCTACGAAAAAAAAAACGGAAATCAAATTGGACAATTCATAAAAAAAACTTATGGTGGATAAAAAGGAAACGTTGGGAAACAGAGTGGACATTGTAATTTGAATAACAAACAAATTTTGGCTTCATTTGTGGGCTAGAAATGACCATTGTGAGCTTCAAGTTCTGGCGTTGAGAAAAATAAGTCTCACGCGTTTTTTGCAGGCCGCTTGCATGCTCTTTCAATAGCATTTCAGGAAAATCTCAAAGAGGACGAGAATGCTTTGCTATAGTTTCAAATTACTCAAGTCCAAAGTTAGAAAGGCGAAGTGCTAAAAGCGAGTAAAAGTTTCAAAATTGTCATTTGAGCTTTGAAATTAATAAATTGTAGTATTAGATTTAAGTTTAAAAACAAATTTATATTGCGGCATTAAATTTTAATCACGTTGTTGTTATATATAGGTCGACAAATATCAAATAGCGTTTTTTCGATAACTATAAATAATAGTGTTTTATGACAAAATAATTGACTAGTTGGCTGGCAAAAAACCGAAGCAGTAACGATTTGAGAAAGAAAACAATTTTATGACAATGAAAATGGTATAAACAAAAAATTTTAAAAACACGCTGACTCTAGCTAGCAAACTTCTATTTTTCCTTTTGGAACGAACAAATAGGTAACGTAATCGCTGTTTTATAACTACAAATACTTAATCTCTTAAATGAGTCTCCGAAATTAAATGTAGATTTCAATTAAAAACATTCGAAAAAGGTAAAGTCAAATGTAATTAAAATTGTCAAAGGCATTATACACAAACTATTTTTAACGAGTGCTAAGTATAAATAAGTAGCGAAAAATAGAGAACGGAAAAGTACAATAGTTAAGCTGAAAAACAATATTGTATGCAGTAAGGTCTAGATGACAACTGGAAATTAACTGCACTAATAGTTCAAAACAAAGTTGATATATGAACATTAAAAACCAAAAGCAAAACGAACATAAATTAAATGTTGAAGATGTGACATATGCATTTTAAACCGAAACGAGAACAACATGCATGAACTGATTGGCTTTGGCGCCGCTTTTTTTGGCCTAGCATTCATTAAACATCTGGGAAGCGTGCGAATAAAAAGGTCTATGTTCCAACAATTTATGCTGTTAACAGTATAATGCACTTATTCTTTATGGGCCGCGAATTGTAACAAGTTCGTTTGGCGGAGGGCGCTTATGCGTTTTCGATAGGACGTTAAAAACCCTGATGGGATATTTGATAAAGAATAGCGTCAATATTTATAAAAAAAATCCTCCCGAAATGCCTTCGTGCACACAGGCGGATTAAAAAATTTGCCCAAAAAAGTCACGGCTTATTTTCACAGCCGCTTCGTTTGCCTGCGGGCTGCTCGGGCGGGTGATATCTTTGGCACTCGTTATGGCAACCTCTTTTATTTCCCATAGTCTTCAACCGCACTTTCGCCGACCTGCGTTAACACTGCTTTCGTTGTCTGGTCACGGCGCAAAAAATAATGGCACCGATTCCTCAACGAGAAGTATATGTGTATATGTGGGCGAAGAAAATACTGGCCATGAGACTTTTCAAGCCCGTCTTTCTTATGGCGGTTGCTATTTTGCGTGGTTTTCATTCTCTTTGGTCTTTATTGGTTTCGGGAAAAACCGTTCAGAACCATAAACTTGAAGCTGTGGAGTTTATGCACGGCTTGAAATTGTTTTCCTTTCAATGCGAAAAAGCATGAAACAATGCGCTTCTAACACAATTACGGATGTGGAGAAGTCTAAAAGGAGATTTGAAGGGCTGCAAAATTTAAAAGTACAATTTGTAAGCTGTAATTACACGAGTCATTGAGCTTGCGAATTTTATGGTAAAACTATGGCGAAGAACAGATATAATAATGTAAGAAGTCAACAATTTTCTACTACTAATCTTAAAAATAGTATAAAAAATAAGTAATACTATGACATGCATGAACATTAACTCAAGATATAAACGTTATCCCGACCCATTAAGCCTATTTTTTGTATGTCGTGTTGTGTCCAAGAAATTTGTTATTCTTTCGGAACAAACAATGCCAAAAACAAAATGTCAGGAAAACTGTACAAAATAAGTCACACGAGTTGTCATTGTTAAACTTGTTAAAAACACAATGTTCTTTAAGGCTTCTTGGTCTGATTCCTTTTTGAAACGTACTTGTAGATGTGAAATAAAATTTCAAAGACGTCAAAGTAAATTTCACAGACATTAAGGTCACTTTCAAAAACAGATTTAGTGTTTTAATAAGAAAAGGAATGGCAGGATTGTAGAATGAAGTGCATTATATTAAGACGAATGGCAATTTTTGTAAAACGAAGGGCATTATATTGAAATTAATGGCACAAAGTATCGGAAAAGCATTAGTTTTGATAAGTCGCTGAAACACCGAATATACACGGCCTCGCACAGTTGGCCTATTGAAATGTATTCTGATTAAAGTAAGATACTTTGAACAGCCAAGTTCATAAAAAGTCGGAGGCTTATTTGAAAGGAGTCGAAATTGTTTGCCTTTGACAATCCAAAGACATTGGACTTGTAAATTGGCTTCGTTGTAATGTCGAAACTGAAATTGAATAATAACCAGCCGAGAGAATGAGATTATCAAAAAATAAATTGGGGATCGTGAATGATGACATTTGGCATTGTAAACATGGCTTAACAGTGACTGAGTGGTGTTGATTGGTAGTGTTATAGACTAATGTGTGTTGATGGTTAATTTAATAGTTGGGTGTGTTTATAGTTAAAGTATTTGAGTGTGCTGATAGTTGGGTGGTATATAATTGGGCATTAGTTGATAGTGCATAAAAACAGATTTTTAGTAAACTGGTTGTGGATGAAGGGGGCAAATTTTATGATGTTTTGCTTATTAGTGAAGAGTTTTTGTACTAACATAACTATACATGAATTAAAAATATTTTTATTCCATTTTCACTATGTCATTGACAGTAAAAGCGACTACTGTTTTTTGGAATACCCTAAATTTTTAAGTCGCAATACAAGACTCAGACACGCTAAAACGCTTAACTTTTCAATTTTCTAGGATTTCCGTCCGTGGGAAAGTCTACATTACTGTCGAATTTGGCCGGAGTTTACTCAGAAGTGGCGGCTTATGAGTTTACAACCCTTACAACCGTGCCCGGCGTCATCAAGTACAAAGGAGCCAAAGTACAACTCCTCGATTTGCCTGGTATCATCGAAGGAGCCAAGGATGGTAAAGGTCGTGGTAAACAGGTAATTGCCGTGGCACGAACATGCTCGATGATATTGATGGTGCTGGATGTTATGAAACCGTTGGGACACAAAAAGTTGTTGGAGTATGAATTGGAAGGTTTTGGCATTCGGTTGAACAAGAAGCCGCCAGAGATCACGTTCAGGAGAAAGGAGAAGGGAGGTCTGAACTTGACGGCTTTGGTGAGTGGCATACTTTGTTTTATAAGGAGACTAAAGGTTTTTTTATTTCTTACCTGATTGTCGATTTGATGAATTAAGAACGTAGACAAAGGTATATTAAGGCTTATTTTAGTTTTTAAATTTGTTGTTACAGGTAACCCAATCAGAGTTGGATTTGGAAACGGTGAAGACCATTCTCGCTGAATACAAGATTCACAATGCCGATATTACTTTGAAATACGATGCCACAACTGAAGATCTTATTGATGTGATTGAAGGCAATCGTGTCTACATTCCATGTATTTACGTTCTAAACAAGATCGATCAAATCACGATTGAGGAGTTGGACATCATCTACAAGATTCCTCATTGTATGCCGATCTCTGCCCATCACAGATGGAACTTTGATGATTTGCTGCAGAAGTGCTGGGACTACTTGAATTTGGTCAGAACGTAAGTTTGGTGAAGATTAATTATAAATTTTATAACGTTGTTATTGTGGCTTGACTTTTCAAAAATTCTTGTCGACAAGGCTTTTTTACAGTTTTTATGCATATATTAAGTATGAAAAGCTATTTTAGGTAAGAATTTTTTAAATTTTTTATTTTATTTTTAAATTTTAGCTACACTAAACCGAAGGGACGAGTACCAGACTTTGAAGATCCGGTCATTTTACAGTACGAAAAGCGGTCGATCGAAGACTTTTGTACCAAGATTCACAAAAGTTTGGTCAAAGACTTTAAGCACGCATTGGTATGGGGAAGGTCGGTGAAGCATTGCCCTCAACGAGTTGGTATCGATCATATCTTGGAGGATGAGGATATTGTTCAGATTATCAAGAAGTAGGTTTTGATCTAGATTTTTTTGTATTTTTATAATTATGATTAGGTATTTAGTTGTTCTAGTTGGTATGCAACTTTTGTTTTTTATGTTACTGAAGCTTCGGAAACAGCGAACTTTGGTAAAGTTTTGTCTATCAAAATATTTTACTCTATTACGGTAAGATAGTGAGAAGGGAACCATTTTTATGCAAATTTCATGCCATAAATGCTAAATTTGTAAATTTTCAGGGTTTAAATGCCAGAAGCACAGAAAGAAGACAAGTCAATGTGTGGTCTTTTGAAAACGCTTGATTCGATTATATTTTGTTATTAAAATGGGTAAAATTGTTAATTATGATGATTTTTGTATTGAATAAACTTTTGTTTTACAATTTTTCAGCTTTTTTGCCATAGTTTATATCACTTTTATACTTATAACTTTTATTTTGCATTTTTTTTCACAATTATAATGATTTGTATGGAAGCCGTGCCCTTTATTTTATATTTTTTTCTCAAAATTTAAGAAAGAAACTCCGAAGGTAACGTAAATAACCAAGCCCTTGAGTACCAATATATTTATTATTAAGTATTTCATTTTATATGTACACGCAACAAAATTTAACATAAATTTGGGTTTGCACTTTAGACAAGTAACAATTTGTTTCAAAGTAAATTTTCGAAATGAAATTATCAAAAAAATCGACAGAAAATAAAGGAAAAACGAGATTTGTCCCCTGAGATTGGATGGGCCTTATTGGCCAACAATGGAAAAGATTTATTGTTTCGAGACGATATAACAATACATTAAAATAGTGTTTGGAGCATCAGTTTGGTCAGCTAGAAAATTTGATTTTAAACTTTTTCGAAATTCGAAAAAAATTTTTGAAATTAAAATTTTTTTTTCAAAATTGAAAAAAAACCTTATGATTAAAAAATTGTGTTTAGGGGCCCTTTCTGACATTTTGTATAAATATTTTTAAAAAAATACGTAAAAAATATTTATATTCACCATGCTGACTCAAATGATACTTGAATGAAGTAAAATATTAAGTTTGTCAAACTAAATTCAACTTTAAATTAAAAAAGACACGAAACTCATGTTTTGATGCAATTTCGAATGAAATAGGAAGTAAAACAAATTGAGGAACCAGTTGTAATGTTGATTTCTTTGAACCGAATATGGAGTTATTGAGATCAGTTGGAGAAGCGATGTAACGGAAGCGTTTGCTCGGCGTGAGAGTTGCCAAAGAAGTGGGAGGGTTTCCGCGTATCGTCGTAGCAATACAGAATCTTGACAACGATGCGTTTGAAGGCGCGCCGGAAGTCGCGGTTGAAAATACCGTAGATGATGGGGTTGGCGGTGGAGTTGGCGTAGCCAAGCCATGTCACAACCTGAAGAAGGTGGGGTTTTGAATAAGGCTGTGTGTGCTATTTTATAGTTTAAACGTTGGTCTGAGAAATTTTTTTAACTTTTCTTTCTTTTTTCAAATTATTTTAATTCCTACCGTGAGTTAAAGAGATTTGTAAAATACGCTTTGGGTAGCTATAGTTAAGATAATGTAAAACAATAAGTTGAACAACACAAAACACCTACCTGAAACACTATAGTGGGAAAGAACGTTGGGAAAAGTGAACGCCAAATATTGACAACGAAGAACGGTAGCCAGCACAGTAGAAACGTGCCCATTATAATGCCTAATGTCACCCTGAAAATATGAAAACTTAAAAGTCTTATGTTATGGTTTATTATCGTATCTTTTGTTTTGTTATGGTGATATTAAGGTAGGGAAAGTGGGTGGCAAGGAAATAAATTACAGTTTGCTTGGTTTAGTTGATTTGGGGGTTGGTGTGGCACGTTTAGAAGGTAATAAAGGACCTTTTTTCACAAAAAATTAATTAGAAAAGGCAAAAAGTTACTTTTTTGTATACTTACCGTGCTTTTTGATCAGAAGCGGACTGATTTTTGGGCTGGTGCGGCCTTTTACAGCCTTCTGGTATGTCTGGGAACTAAAAAAAGGTAAAACATTTATTGAAAAATAAATATTTTTTGAAATTTTTTTAAAACAGTAGAACCAAAATGCCTTGATTTAGTCAAAAATGTAATTTCTAACGCCATTATGTACTATAAACTCACAATAGTAGTCTCAACATTCTGCCCGGGATACTGTTGTCCAGCCGTCATTTGATACTTTGGTTGTACCACTTGAGGGCTGGTCGTCGTAGACGTAGTACCATTTTGTGGTGGTGATGATGGGTTGTTGTTCGGCGACCCATTTGCCGAATTGTTGTTACAACCCACATCTTGATATTCTAATGCGGCGTGTGTTGCCTAAAAAATATCATAGGTGGTTGAAGGCGATTGTTGCGGTCACACTTGGGTTAAAACAGGCTAGCGTCAAAATTCACACTATTGGGTTAATGTTGGCGATAGAGATAGAAAAAGCATGGGTTAATGGTACTACTGGTACTATTGTGAAGCGTCAGTGCAGTATGGGTAAGTATTTAGTGGTAGTTTGACGTTAGTTTTTGAGTTTTTAAAATTTTTAAACTACAAAATATTGATTTTAAATTACTGTTCTAACGCAGTAAAGTAATATTTTTCAATTTGTATGTTAAATTAGTAAACTTTTAGAACTCTTTTTACTGGTACACTATCAAAAAAAAGCAAAAACTTGAAGATATTATCATACTGCACTATAGAATCAACTGCAAAACGGGCGACCGCACGCACTCTGCCTACGTTCATATAGATACTATGGCTCACAGATAGCTGGCGGTACAGGCGATAGTTGAATAGGTATGAGTTTTGTGACATATCTTAATTATGGTTCAAAATGAAGTGGTATATAAAACTTATGGTACTATAGTTTGTTCTGTATCATAATTTTAAAAAAGTGGTTGGTATAATTTTAAAAACTGGATGATGTTTTGCTCAGGTGGTATGTCATGGTTAATTTCAAAAACTGTAAGGATTAGTGGTCATTATCAGTGGCAAAACCAAAAATTGAAAAAAAATGGCAAAAACAATTTCGACCAATCCAAAAACGGTCGAAAATTGCTTCACCCAAACCAAAAACGGTCGAAAAACAAGAATTTCACGCAAAAACGGTTTGCATATTAGTGGTGTGCCTTTCGGGGGGTAATTTGGACAGCAAAGCACAAAAATGGCCAAGTCACAACAAGGCTGATTACCACATCGAGTTCACGGGGACTTACCCTTTCCTGATGCAGAAAAGAGGAGACCCGCCAAAGTAAGGTATGGCTGCGCCACTGACAACGACAAAACATTATTATTTTTAAAAAAATTGAATTTTGAGGGGTTAAGAAGCAAAGAAGTAACAGTAGGAGAAGGTGAGTTGGGGAGTTTGGAGGAGGTCGATCTGCTTTGATCTATACTTTTTATAGTATGTGGCTTATGAAACAAGTAGGGCTATATTGTTATAGGTAGTGCTAGGCAAATGGTTTTCGCAGAAGGTCAAAAGAAATTTTTTTTCTTGGAGGCTATGGCACTTTTGCGAAATTAACGGGGAGGACCATGGTCAAAAATCTCAAAAATTTTTTTTCCATATTGTACCCCCTTACCTAGAAAGCATAAAAAATATATTTTTTGAAAAAAAAGTAAGGTTACCACCCCCTTTCTCTATGAAAAAAAAAATCTTTTCTACCCAAAAAAATGTTCTATGTTATCAGCAAACTAAACGTAAACTCAAGGGAACATAGGGGGATAGTGTCTGGAAAAACGAAAGAGCTTACAACAACTTGGCGAATGTGTTCACTAGCTAACTGCATAATCAATAATGAGGTTGCCTGTTTCAGCTGGGAGCGAATGCTGCGCACGTGCATTCGCGCGTACAGATACAGTTTGGCGTACAACACGACCATGATGGTGGCAGGGAGGAAGAAGCTGAGGGTGGATGAGACTATTGCGTACAGGGGGGAGAGTCGCAGCTGGCAGGCTGGTCTGAAAATTGAAATTTCAAAAAATTTTTTATTGAAATTTAATTTTTTTTTAATTTTAAAATTAAAAAATGATTTTTTTACTGGTTGTAGGCTACTCGCAAGCTAAAAATGATACTTATTACCTAAAAAACTAAAAGTTTTTTTCTTTTCAAAAAATCGAAAAAACGCCTAAACTCACAGTTTATGATGATTATCTTGGCCGAAACCCACATGTCTTGGCCGATGATTGTGCTGTTCAAGCTCGCTTTCACTGGCCGCACCAAAGATGATTTGTGCAGCACCAATCAGCGATGATAGTACCCAAACTACGACTATGGCGGCGATGATCAAACGTTTACTCGAATATCGAGCATATTTCATCGGACGGCTGATATGACAGTACCGGTCGAAGGCGATGGCACACAAATTGAGAATTGAGGCCGTACAACAAGTAATGTCAAAACAGATCCAAAACTCGCAGTACATCTCGCCGAAGGGCCAGTAGCCGAGGATGTCGTTGGCTGCTGCGAATATCATTACCTGAAAGTTTAAGTTTTAATTTGCCTTTTTTAAGGTCCTTCTCCTACTTTACCTTTCCCTATCCTGCCCTACCTTACATTACCCTACCCTACTTTACCAGCACTAAAGAAACAAGCAGAAATTCTGAAACCTACCATAATAGACACCAGTAGATCCGATACCGCCAATGACACTAAAAACAGATTCTCCGGCTGTCGACGCAGTTTTCTGTCGAAGAAAACGGCCGCACATACGAGAATGTTGCCGCTGAGCGCGATCATAATGAGTGATATGAAAAGACATAGTAACAGTAGCAATACGATTATGTTCATCGCACATTCGGCGATCACAACATTAACCCCGGTGTAGTTAGGTCGATACCATTATTGGGTTATGGGTTCAGGGCATCGATGCTTCCTGGAAATGGATTTATATTAGGCATGTTTTATGGGTATGAATAGGTATTTTATGGAACGGAAATTAGGCGAGTGACGACAAAATTTACGTTAGTTTGGAAAAGGGTTTACTATGGGTAAATGTAATAAAAGTAATAATATTTTGAACAGTAAATAAATTTAAAAAATTAAAATTATATAGAAATGTAACTTAATGTATGTGATGTGTTATAAGTTATCAAAGATAAACTAGTCAACATTCCTAAAATTTAAATAAAAGCTTATATGAAAAGAACATATGGCCTTCATCACGATGTTTACACGTTGACACTTCAAATATTCATAAATATAAAAATTTGGCGCTCAAAACAATTCCAAATATAAAATATACAGTGAGTACACCAACTTAAAAAAGGAGCAAAAATAGATTAAAATAATCACAAAAACAAGGAGATTTAAGTTTAGGGTCAACGTTCACAAAAAGGTGTTTATATGATCATTCAAAACATCCTGGTTTAAAAAAACAAATAAACCGTATAAAGCGTTTTGGTCAACAATGATATAAAGGGTTTAAAATTAGGTTTTTAAACAAGTATAGGGCAAAACAACATTAGAACTTGTGTATAACAAATTTCTAGGAAATTTTAAAGACAAACATTACACACTGCACTTAAAACTTCTGTATAACAAAACTTCTGTATAACAAACAAGTTTAAAATTCCCGAGCAATTTGTTACACAGAAGTTAGTCAAAAAACAAGTAAGGTTATATTTTGATTTTAAAAAGTTACAAAAATATAACTTTTTTCTATTATAATATAACTTGTCCTCATCGCGGACTCTTCTTTGCCAAAGTTTATTTTATTTTGTCGGAGCAGACTATTTACATTGTAACTCACATCTGCACTAGAAAACATTAAAGAATGTGAGAACCAGTAAATATTAGAATAAAAAATTTGAAAAATATTGGGAAAAGTATAAAAATGCTAATTTTAAGCGAATTTTGAAATTTTGATCGAAAAGTACGTAGAATTAAAAAAAATTTAAAAATTTAAAAAAAGTTTAAATTCTAGCCAGTTTTTGACCGGATTTATTAAAAAAGCTAAAAAATGACAAAAACCCAGCCTAAAGTAAAACACGTGAATCAAACTATCTACATTATAAATAAAAACTCCAATCTTAAAATGCAAAAAACTTGTCAATAACATCACGAAAATCGACCGCCCAACATACAAAAAGATAGATAAAAGTACATGGTGGTAAATAAATCCGCCGTCTTTAAGAAAATTAAATGTCAACGGGCTGTGCGGCCCAAAACGAACCGAAGACCGCAAAATTAGGCTCGTTCATCTGAGTAATTAGCCTACAGTGTTTTGTCTTAGTAATTGAGCTTTTCCCAACCCGACCAGATTGAATTAGAGATGAAAAGCGTGGAGACAATAATACGTTGCAGACAACAAAGTTGGGGTAAAATATTGCTTTGGAAGAATGTATATTTGCTGCTATAACGCATGATTTGGGACGTGAGAAGAAATTCAAATTTAGCATTGGCCTCAGCTTCTGCCTCAGCTTCAGCCTCAGTTTCAGCTTCAGCATTAGCTGCAGCCTTAGCCCTTGCTTCAGTCTCAGCTTTTTCCTTAACCTTAGTTCTAGCGTCAGCCTTGGCGACAGCCATAGCGTTAGTTTTAGCCTTACGCTATTAGCCCTAGCCCTAACCCAAGCTTTAACTAAAAAATGGTGTAAGTAGCGACTTTTATATACCCAGCTATTAACGAAAATACGATTCTTTATTTTGCTGCCCAGCCGTGCTATTAAAAAAACAATGACACTACAGTAATTTAAATCACTATTATCATCCCTATCTCCTATTCAAATGAAATATCAACCAACGCTTTTTTAACACAATACAAGACAATTCAAAAATTTGCACGCAATCCTCTTAAGCAGCTAGTCAAAAAAACAAAAAGTAATCCGAAAAGTGTCATCTACAAACAAGGCAATACGATGTGCTGTATGTGTGTGGTGTTATCACCGGAAGGAACTTAGACATGAAAAAAACAGGAAATCTAATATTTACGTTTAATTTGTGACCTCATCTCCAATATTATACTACATGAATATGGGCGATTACAATAAACATCCATACACTGTGATACGTGAAGAAATGATATTCTGGTGAATCTGCGTTTATGACACACGAGTGCTACTATTATGACATACGAGTGTTATTACAAGTGGGAAATGAAATATTTCTGGTAAATATTTATTGTTTTCATCGTATTATTACAGAATTTTGCCGGAGGTAATATATGAGTCATCGTATGCCCTTTAACAGTACCATAGCTCCAGCCTTAGTCTCAGCCTTAGTTTTAACTTAAGCCCTAGGCCTAGTTTTACTTTAGATCTAGCCTAACGATGCCTTCCCAGTAATAAATTGCCTGTAGTAAAAATATCCAACCTTCTCCCAAGTTTAACTGAATGTTGTTCGACCCCGTTGATCGTAACACAATAATGTACTAACCTTTAAACGAATTTCAAGGTTAATAAGCTCAATTTTTGTTATAATAGACAAATAAAAACAACGAAAGTCGTACAGTTTTCTTTGAAATACTCAAACACATAAATTGTTGGCATAAACATGCTCATATTTGATACAAGTGTTTTTTTGGTATTCCAAAACAAGGCTTTAACTTTGTGACAAATATAATAATTGTACTATTTCTGCATATAAATTAAAATTAGACTGTGCTTGGTGTGAAAATAAAGTAAAAGCAGGATTTATATTAACTTTAATTGGTACTGTAAAGGTTAATAGTAGAAAAAAATTAACTTTTAAAAATTTTTAAGCGTAGCGTGAAATTTTTAAAATTAAAATTTAATCAAAAATTTTAAAAAAATTTTAAATTTTTTTCTCTCCTTCCTCCCTCCCTTGAATCAAAATTCACGCACCCCGGCGGTGTTACCAATCTTAAAATTCAAACCCAAAATTCCCCTCTCAAAAACCATCACACCCCAACGTAGTAGCATATAAAATGTAATGAAATTACAAAAAGATGCTTCTTTTTAAAATTACCCGGCCATTGACTCTCCAAAAACAAATTACTCTCGGATTTTTAACAACAAAAAATATGTTAAAGAGGCCACAATTTGACATTTTTCTCGCTTCTTTAGGCTCTTATTTTGAGGATGACGCAAAGGAAAAGGAGGATTTATTAAGATTTGACTTGTTTTTCATGTTATCCCTTCGTGTAATGCGCTAGATGGAACGTATAGTTAACCTTTGGTTGGCTGTATTTGATATGTACAAATAAGTACATTGGGGTAAACATACGCTGGTGTTCATGCGTCTTGGAGAGAATGGAAACTTTTGCAAAAAAAAAAATAATTTTTTTAAATAAAAACAAATCTGTTTTAACGGCTTTTAACAACAAAGAAACAAAAATTTTCTTTGTGAATTTTTGACCCCACCCTACTCCACCTTACCCTACTCTACGTTATTCTACTATTCACCACCTTATCTTATCCTACCCCATTCCACCTTAACCTACTTTACTCTGCCCTACTTTTTCTTCATGTATTTATCACCCCACTTCAATACAAACCCTAAATTTTAAAAGTTCGAACTCAAAAATCAACTTTTTTTCCATTAGAACACACCTAACACATCTGACCAATTTATATAAACGAACTCGACTACACAATGGTTGTTTTTTTAATCCCCGGCCATTAGGAATCTGGCATGATGCTATAAATTAGTCAAGAAACAAAAAGTAAAAATAGAACAGATTCAACTCTCAGGATCATAATAAAAAATTCAAGTCGAAAACACTCAAAGCAAACACGTGGTGAGGAAGATACGACAAAGTTTGAGGTAAAATACGATTGAAAAAGCACTTAAAAAATTTATTTTTATAAATTTAGAAAGCACAATAAAATACGAAAAATTTCGCAATATATAAATTTTGACTACTTTACAATCTATAGAACAACCGGATTGGTTCACAAAAAAAATTCAAGATTTAAAATTTTAGTGCCAATTTAAAAGCACATAGCTAAAACATCAAAAAATCAAAATGACATGTCCAAAAAAGACTTAAAAGCCAAGTTTTTAACAATTTTTAATCTACAAACATACGATGACATTACAATAATCAGTCTTGTCTTAAGGCTGTTTAAATTTAGGATAAGAGGGATTTAATGTCTTGGAATGTACGTATTTACAAGTTAAAGTCCAGATAAACAGTATGTTTTATTCTGGGTCAGATTAATGACCAAGTGTCTGTGTAACTTAGTTATTAGTCCAAGTTTTGTTAAGTCATTTTTCAAGCTTTAACGATTAATGATTAGGACTAGTTTGGAGCACGGCTAAATTATAGTGGCTGAAAGAAAGGCTTAAAATTTATAAATTAGATAAAAAGAAAGCTTTTTAAAATAAGTTTTAACTTTTTAAAATTCGAAAAATGCTGAAGATTTTTCATTTTTGATCTTTTACTCTCATCTATTTAAAAAAGGCTTAAACGTGATAAAAACAAAAAAAATTGCTCACGTAGTCATTAAAGTTTCTTCTGGCACAATTGCACCCTAGGCGATACTAAAATAAAAAACAATCAGTGTGAACAATATTTTTAAAACTACGTAGTTTTTGAGGAACACATATTACCTACATAATACCGGGTTGATAATCCTACAGTACAGCTCTTGTAAAACAAAAACCCTTTTTAACAAACAGTTTGAAAACTCCAAGCAATTCGTTATAAAAGAGTTTTGCTGTATTAAAGTAGTGAATATAAAGCTAACTTCAAAAACCTAACAAGAAAAGTAAAGGAAACGGTAAGGAATTAACAACCGAGTAAGTAGAAACAATTTTGTGACATCATGCCTAAAAGC